GCATCTCGCTGCAGTCATGATACCGAACCGCAGACGGCAACAGCCCGTGTCCAGCAGACATGATGTCTGACGTGTTTTTGTATCTTTTGTTAGAAGAGGAAGAAGATGATGATGACTTGCTTTTATTATAAAAGTATAAAGAGAAAAGACTAAAAGACATACGTCCTATGTTGAAATGCAGACGAAGTGCGGGTGCAGGCCACCTAGTTTATCAGTTTCTCTGCCTCGGAATCTGTGAAACTCATTTTTTAAGAAAACTTCAACGTGTTGTCGCTCGGGCGTTGGCGGCACTACTGATCTGCGGTCGGGCTACAGCAGTGTTGCCAATATTAAAATGTAGGTCCCGTTGTAGAGAACACTGTAATCCCGTCAAAACCCGTCAAGAATGGATTTTCGAGTATTCATTCCCCCTAAATATCAAAAATGCATTGATTTGATATCGATTCTTGACACACATTGATTATTTTTCAGAATTTAATCTACCAAAGTATATACATACATCCGTTTATATATATATATATTTTTATATATATATATATATATATATATATATATATATATATATATATATATATATACCCTCCCGTTAAAAAATCCGTTAGCCGTTAAACACAATTTGTTGCCGTTGTCAACCTCGCTGACCCGTCAAATCTAGCGGGAAACCCGTCAAGTTGGCAACACTGGACTACAGTGTCGTCTGCCGCTAGGCGTGTGTGTGGCGTGTACGATGTGTCGCTAGCTATGGAACGTATTTCATGGAACTACATAGAAACCAGTTGCGTCGCGACGACACGTCGCTTGCTGCTGCTGTCTGCAGTCGGCTACGGAATGGTACCTTTATACTGGATAATTTTTTTACCGTCTGGATAAAAAAATGGGTGTGACAGGTGAACGGAATAGAAACCTATGGCACAGATATTTTACAGTTTATTTTTATTTTTACATTAACATATTATGAAATTGATCTATCAATAAATACTCTATTTTTTCCAGTCGATAAAAAAATCACCCAGTATATTATGAAGGCACAAACACTAGCATAGATTAAGTAAAATTGTTAGATATGTGGTCGATGAAGGAAAAGGGGAGATCTCCCGCCGGGCAAGGTGTTCTGCCCGGGGAGATAAGAAGTTCTATATATACTGTCTATGATTCGGAATGTTGATAGCGTGATTTAAGCTTCGATGTATTTCGCTTGTGGCGCGACGACAGCGCCGCTACATCACCCCCCTGCTCAGACCGGAGGTCGATAGTGCAGCCTCGTTGCCGACGAATGTGCAAGTGCCAGGAGATTGCCTTGTATTCTACGGTGAGTCGAGAAGAAGGCAAGTAATCTGCGAGAGTGCCGTGAAGCAGAGGCGAGCAGTAAGGCTCAGAGCCGTGCCGAACACTGTATAGCGCAGAAAGTAGCTTGAAGGAACAGGAAGAATTTTTATTCCAGTGCTGCGATGAACCTTTTGAAGCTAGCTGGCTTGCAGCATATGAAGACTGTAGACGATATCTGCTCGGGAGCGAATGGGTGGGGTATTCTAGGACGATGATGAAGCTTGAAGTTTCCGAAGGTTGTCGGTTGCGTGTTCTGATCACTTCGGGGTCACCACTGTGCCCGTGGTAGGAAAAGGGGAGATCTCCCGCCGGGCAAGGTGTTCTGCCCGGGGAGCGGAACGCTCCATGTGATAGTTCGGAGAAGTTCTATATATACTGTCTATGATTCGGAATGTTGATAGCGTGATTTAAGCTTCGGTGTATTTCGCTTGTGGCGCGACGACAGCGCCGCTACAGATATTAATATACTTACACTTAATATGGACTAACTAATATCTGAAATAAAGTTATTATTATTACTTGAAATCATGTCCTGCCATTAAACCTACCATTTTTATCATCATCATCATCATCATCATTACAGCCCTTCACAAGTCCACTGCTGAACATAGGCCTCCCCCAAGTAATGCCACAAATCACGGTCCTGAGCCACCTGCATCCATCGACTTCCTGCATATCTTACCAGCTCGTCACTCCATCTAGTGGGGGGTCGCCCTACACTACGCCTACCGGTACGAGGCTGCCACTCAAGAACCTTTCTTCCCCATCGGTTATCGGTTCTTCGAGCTATATGGCCGGCCCATTGCCACTTCAGCTTACTAATCCGTTGGGCTATGTCGGTCACATTATATACCCCCCCATGAACAATTACCATTTTTATGAACATCAAAATTTGCACTAAGTCTTTGTCGGTTAATTCCACCATAGGACAACAAAACGCTCAGGCTACGATGTATTCAAACCTAACGGTTTTGCTTCGTCGTTCAGCAAGAGAGAGTAGAATAATTTAATTTTTTTTATTTTTTTTTATTAATTTGCCTGTACCTGTCTTTCTCATTCCATCCGATTATTAAATGTCTTCGAGGCAAGAGTGAACTGGCTTTTGTCACTGCATTACCATCTTCGGCTACATCACCACTTTCTTATCCACTATATATTATAAAAATTACTACCAAACTACTAGACCGCTCAGATATTTTACAAATACGAGTTCCATTCCCATTTAGATAAGAAAAGGCGTCAGTAAATTAAAAGAATTGCATGTACATATATTTTATTTAGAATAATAACCTCTAACTTATTACAAATAATCTCTGTAAACTTATATAAATTATAACTTAATGAAAAATTATAAGTAACATCTCCAGTCCTTCCTTTATGTACCTTTGTATAAAAAGCAATATTTATCTTAATCTTATCATATTTTATAAATAAATTAACACTTAGAAATTATAAGAGTATAATGATACAAAGTTTACCCTGGCATTGGGTGTAATGCTTGTCATGTGAAAAAATTGTCAAATTTGACTTAGTACCTATGTCTACTTTTACTATACAGTCAAGATGAACTAACTTTTTAACGTTTTTATCATCGTTTTCGTCATCACTGCAGCTTACCGTAAATTTACTGCTGCACACATCTTGGCTCCCCCAGAAATTATCGTACAGTATTTCCCAGAAGCCTACAGCTTCTTCTGCAGCCTTTTGTATTTCACGTCATCAGTCAATCGTGTGGGAGGCTGACACACCTAAACTCTTTCTTCTGCTTTATGGTTTCTTCAAACTATGGCTGATCTTGATATAATTATGATGATATTTACAAAATTATTTGATCTAATTTTATTAATAATATTTGAAATTAATTTTGAAGCACTCGAAATCCACTTACCTAAAAATATCTTACGAGTATCAAGTTATTGACTGGTTCTTTAATAATTTATTTATACCAATAACAAAAGTTATGTAATAGGTATATTTCTAAAATATACTACAAAATGCAATTAAATTTAAAGAACTAAAAATTAATCTGAAATTAGTTACATCAAATACAAATTACCTATATTATGAGATATATAGTATGAGACATAATCCTATGTAAATGATACAAAACTATTGGATTTACTTTTTCCTTGAAAACAAATCTTATTAACATTTCTTAGTGGAGACGGTCCATTTTAGGCCCAGTACACTATAGCGTAAAAAAATCGAAAATTCGAGGATTTTATTAAAAATAAAATAAGAGAATAAATTGAACTAAATAACTTCGTAAAAATAAAAAATGCAATCGCAATTTTTGATGATTTTACAAGATGGCAACCCACCCAGTGCACACATTCAAAAATAATGCAACAGTTTTTCAAGGTGAAGGCGCATCTAACTATTACAACTATTACAAAGATTTATCCTTGCCTGATAAGTAATCAGTGATGAGAATAACACAGCATTTCAGGATTCAAATATCTGTTAATAAATTGATCAATAACCACATGACAGTTGACAGGCAAACGTCAAAACTACATCAATTCGCCATTAGTGTTGCAGATTTTGGTAAAAATAAAATATTTAATACCACAAATAAAGGCAAATTCGTGGATTTGAATGACCACAAGTGGTATAATATGTTATTTTAATTTATTTCCCTACTCGTACAAAACAAGGCCTACGCTATATAGAATTTCGGACCGGCTCCTTTCGTAACATTTCTTAGCTGCAAAGAATGACAAGCATTCAAAAGAGATTTTACTACTACATACTTAAATGTCTTTGCATTCATACGATTTTTTTAGCCTTTCATCTTAATTTTTGTATACATATAACATGTATGTAGTAACCTTTGATTATTTACGGGTACATGTTGGTTTCTCGGAATCGGCTCTAAGGATTTGCATGAAATTTTGTATTTAGAAAATGTTTTAATTTTCAATTTTATTTAGATTGGTGGCATCCATGAGAATTTTTTCATGGTCGGGTGAAGCGAAGTGAACTGAAGGGTGAAGTACTATTTATTTAATCTACATCTACCGTAAATCTACTGCTGAAATAATAAATTAATTGATTAATTAACAATTTTTGTTCACCAATCAACAATTTGTGTAAAAAATGGGTAAAATCTTTTACTTGTTTTACTGTATTTTTATTTATTTTTTATTACACGTACACATTTGTACAATTATTAAGACTATGCTATTCTTGTAAATGATATAATCTGAAGATTACAACAAACAATAATGATGGAGTTCTAATAATGAACAAACAACAAAATACAAAGCTTGAAAACTTCCGATGTAAATAGACATCCGGTATCAGTTCAAAGATAAGTGAAAATTATCGGTCATTGATGTTATCTTGACTAGACGCTGGTTATGAAATTAAAAAAAAAATAGAATAAAGACAGTGATTTGGAGTTTATATATATTTTCTATTACGTAGTTTGATTTGGAGTTTATATATATTTTCTATTACGTAGTTACTTATTTGTTTCATTTTTTATAAGAAATGTGATTAAATTATAGGAACGTCGCCTCTTCCTGTCGATTTTATAATTTCGTTGAAAAAGCAAAGACCAGAAGTAATACGTATAGTCAACTATGATAAATAATTAAGTAGTGACGCCATTAAAGTTGCACACCCAGGATAAAACTGTTCAGAGCCATTATCTTTGTAAACGGCTGCATTCATCCGACGACAGCGCGAACAGTACTCTTCAGCAAATCAGCGACGAGCTCCGTGGTGCGGATAATTTTGTTGCCAATTTCATCGATGAGCGTAATAGCCGTGGAATACACAAACGTAGTGTCTGACACTGGACGGAGTGTAAAGCGTGTAGGGATGACACTCGGAACCGTCACTGCCGCCCAATCCATTGGGGTTGGCCTGAAAAAATCAATATTATCTTGTAAAGTTAAAGTAAAATGAATTTCATGTTTCATGTGGTCAAGGCCGCCGATATTTTTCAGAATGTTTTAGGGCATGAACATTCTGTCACGCGGAAGAGACAAGCAAACGAACAGTCTACGTGCAGCCATGCTGCAGCTATATTGTGGTCACAGCACGAATGGGTCAGCTCAATCAGGGTAGGACCACGCTCACAGAATACCAGCGTAAAATAGTAGCTTAATGCTGCTGTGTTTCGTATGGTGAGTGTAGAGAACCGGAGACCATTTTTACTGGAAACGAGGCATTCCATATCAGTCCTTAGGGCTGGCAACGCATCTGCATTTTGATTATTAATTGAAGATAAATGTAAATTTTTATTGGCCACAGTATACACTTACCATCAGGTGGACTGTGTGCTCGTTTGTCACATTTATTTTATAAAAAAAACCTGATGGTAAGTGGTTACTGCAATCCGTGGAAGTCTGCAGCTAATTTTCAACACAGAAGGCTACAGATGCATTGTCACCTCTAAGAACTAAATGGAATACCTCATAGCTTGCAATTTTACTGGCTCTGTATACTCTCATCCCACCGGCAGCATAGGTAGATATAGATAAGAGGTAGTATTTATACACTACTAGCCAACCGGCCTGGCTTCGCACGGGTGATATCTCGAATTACCGGACGGCATTGTGACTCTAAGCTATTCAGGTACTCAAACATCATTTTTTTATCAGAATCGGTTGAGCCAGTTCCGTGTTAAAGCGAGTCTAAGGAACAGCAATTGATTTTTATATACTTGTAATATAGATATGATGTAAATCAGCACTTAGAATTGGAAACAAAAAATTTATTCGTTTCGGTTATTCTTTTTGATATTACCAATAAAGTCATTAACATAATAAAACTGTAAGTTATAATATTGATTAGTGTGCATTTCAGAACCACGCTGATATAAATGAAGAATGGATCGGGTTGACCAACAAATGACACTTCACTTCTTACCGGCCTAAAAACTCAGTATAATGTGGTTCTGTATTATGTTGAGTAAAGAGAACCGGAGGATCTTTTTTCTAGTAATATGACATTCTTTAGTTCTTAGAGTGACAACCATAGAATACTATAATACACAATGGCTGTCAACCTTATTTTATACGAGATTCGGCGTCGCCGGGAACACACATACAAGCAATTACGTCGTACTATCACTACTACAAACCCGATTCGCTGTATTGACAGACTGAGTAAATTTACATTTTAGACTTTTGATTAATGTTCAAGATCATCAAAAATTTTTAATACATATTTATATGTAAATAGTGTCCAATTTGGTATTTTCTAAATAATTTTCATGCGAAATTTGGAAACGATTGTTACGTCAAAACACATTTCATGTTGACATTTACACGTGTGAATTGACAAGTTAGTGACAAATAAGTGGCTACACGGGCTCCGCCCACTCCCCCGTTCTATTACCTATATATGCATTATAGTATTATATGGTGACAACGTTATTGCATTGTTGTGGGGACACATGTGTTCCCTTGACGACGCTACAGGTTAATGTCTTATCGAGGTTAGATCTAGCCGTTTACGGACCATTGTATTACTTACCATCAGATGAACTGTGTACTTTTTATTCACTCTTAGTTCTAAATAAAAATAAGCACTGTACATGATCTTAAAGAATATGAAAAGAATAAACTCAATTAATTTCCTACAGTCCAATAGCCTTTAAAGATATTTACGATAAAATATTGATATTTTTATATCATTAGTGCTAAATGAAATCACAGTATAAATGATTTCAGCCCATGACTGCTTAGCTAGCTATAGATTATGAATCTGTAGCTTATGGAAACCTGCAACCGACTTCAAACGTGCAAACAAGGAGGTTCCAATATTCAACAAACGTTTCGTTTTTCGTTACGAAACTTTTTATGTAGCAAGTATCAACAACTTAAAACAATGCAACACCAAGGCTTTGTAACTTTACGGAGCAGTTTTTTTTCTAGAAACATTTTTCTGTAAATTAGATGGTAATAAAAAACGGAACATTTCTAGGAAGTAACAAGGCATAAGATACGAGTAATATGACGCCTCATAGCATGTAACTAGGCTCTACCACAGAATAAAAAATAATTACCTATACCGACTTTCATACTTCTGAAAGCATCTCCCCCTGATGTGACGTGACCTATTTTTTAATTTAATATTTCAGAAGTAATTAAATTAAAACAGCAGTTTTTCATTATTTGAATTAAAAATAATCTTTAATAAAATCAAATTAAAGAACGATAACGATAAGAACGATACATTCGACGCGCGGAACGATTTGAGAGCAAGCGTGCACTCGCCGACAACATAATATAGATCGAGTTATGTAGAAATATTTTAATTAATTGGTTTATCTATAAATTTCCCGTTTTAGTATTGCAGATTATAACATGTGACGTCACACAGCTTTTAACCCCCCCCCCCCATCCCTTGTCACACAATGTCACATTTTGTTGGCCCCCTCCCCCCTTAACGTGTGATGTAATTTATGCATGGATATCTTAGATAATAAAAGTTATATAAAGAAAAAAACATTATTTGAATTAATTTATTAATATTATACCAGGCCTTCACGACCCCGGGACTCGTTAAAAATGACATCTTATACAATGTTAAAAGAAATCGGTAATTAAAAGCTGAAAAAATAAAAATCTATTAAGACATGTTTTTGAATAAACACTCAATAAAAATAAAAAAAAACAGCAATTAAGAAAAAACAATAATACTCCTATGAAAAATTGACTGTTATTCATAAAATTGGAACCAGTTTTAGGTATTTCCCTAATTGTTTTAATTGTTTGGGAGATCACGCCGAGATTTCCCATTTGCTCATTGGAATTTTTAGTTTGTAAGACAATTTAGTGTAGACGAAATTAAAACTGATCAACTTCGCTAACTTTTTATATAGAATTAATTAATTTCGAATTAGTTTTAGATCATCACCCATTATCTAATACCCACTATATTAGAAATTGTCTCGAAGGGTTTGGAGTTACCATTTTTATAAAAAATCTGCATAAAACGTATTTTGATGAATGGGTTATTTAAAAAATAAATAAATCGACAAACTATCGTGGAAGTTTTTAAAATAAGAAATTAGTCAAATCAGTTTAGTAGTAAAGACAACGGAAAAATAATGTATTAAAAAAAGAAAAATACGGTCGCATTTGTACAAACGCCTCTTTTTTAAAGTCTTTAATTATATTATTATATATATATATATATATATATATATATATATATATATATATATATATATATATATATATATAATTTGTAATTTACGTAGTTTTAATTATTTTTGGCATAAAAAATTACTTTCAACCAACACTCGAACTTTCTGCACCTGGTCGATCGGGGGCCGGTATTTGCTGAAATATTCCGGATGTATCAGTGAAAAAGGCGTATATAAAGGCGTTGAAGCCCGCCACCGGGGTAGTATTGAATTTGGCAATACAAGCGAAGCTAAAAAGTGAAATAAAGTGAATCAGTGTGATTAATTATTAGTGTCTTTTAAGTTTTAATTGGTGTTCGGTATTTAAAGTGTTAATTTTGGTAATTAAATCGGCAGTTTTTATTGTCACGAACCCTAAGCTCGTAACAATATAAACCATCCAGGATTATACTTAAACGCTCGAAAATCGTTCGAGCCGTTTTCGTGTTTTAGCTATACTAACGGACAGCAATTAATTTATATAGTACCTGGACGACCGAGCCTTGCTCGGTATTTTTTTTTTTTTGGAAATTATATTTAGATACAAATTACATACTGATGAAATATGAATAATATTTTTTGATCTTACCGACATAATAGAAAAAGCTTAACTAGTTATTTGAATAAAAAATCATGAGTGCAATCATTTTTATTTTTATTATCGTGTTTTTAAAAAAAATATTGAAAAAAGGGCTCGATAAAAGGTCGGACCGAAGACAGATTTCGAGACCACCCGATATCACATTTGAGCTATTATAATCATTAACGCATTGCCAAAATTTACCTTCTTACTCTAATGATATTGTAGCAGTTTTTCATTGCCTGCAAACACGGATAAAACGACATTTTCTAAAAATGAATCCTAGCTAGATCGATTTATTGCCCCCGAAACCCCCTGGACACTAAATCTTATGAAACTCGTTGAAGCCGTTTCCGAGCTTCCGATCTTATATCATGTGGTAAAATGCAGTTACAAAAGCATTCTGAGTGCCATCGTTCGTAAAATGTCTCAATGTTAATTTGTAGGTTACAGCAGCTCACTCAACATGGCCGCTATCAAATTTAAATATCGTTGGAATGTTTTACGTAATTTATATTCCTATTTTATGGTTTTCGTCGATAAAACAAATGGGAACGGACAAAATCACATAATTCTTTTGTATTTACTTACGGAACCGTTACACTGGCTAATAAAATTAGAAAAGTCGACATCCGTAACATTTTGATAACCTAAAATATTTTTTTGTTTGCCGTTTATTTGCTCATGCTCATTATTTGGGCATGCATATTTTAGCTGTTTTAAATTTCATTTTGTTAAATGAAATAAAATTTCGTTTGCCAAATGTCTTTTATTTTCAACTGACTTAAAAAAGGAGGCGGAGGTTCTCAATTCGATTGTCTTTTTTCATGTTTATCTCAGAATTTTTTACTATGTGATTTGTGATCTTGTTGATTCTTTTTTGATATGAAAGTTGGTGCTCCTTATGTGAACCTATATAAATATATTGAGTTAGATCTGACCAGTGGTTTTAAAGTTATCCTTAATAATCCGTATTTAATTGACTCCGACTACATTCATGATGTCCTCATTTTATTTATATTGAAGTCGGTTGTACAAAATTTTTGATTTTACCTTTACTTTGTTTTTATTTTACTTGTTCAAATCTACTACCGTTTCGAAATGAAGTTCCTCTGACCTGACAGGTGAAGAAACGTAGAGAGAAATTCTGTAATTGCTGTGTAATATAAATCTGTCTAATCTTGCGAGAGAGGAGAAGATTTTTACATCTTACCAGTTATAAATTACAAAGTATTATTTAATGGGCAGCTCGTACACTATAAGTGGAGTGACGACTGGTAGTGGTAAGACATGTAGGAAGCTAGGAAGTCGATGGATGCACTAATCGGGACCGTGTTTTATGACTTCGTAGGGGTAAGGTTGAGCAGAGAACTTGTGAACGGCTGTAAATATAATGATGAAGACTGCCTCTGGTTAGAGTCCTGGATTAAAATCAGTCATTGGGTTTTTCTGTTAAGAAATTCTCAATATCAGCCCAAAGTTAGGAAGTTAGCAGTAAAGTGAAACCGTAGATTCTGAACCTGATCTCTCTCCAGTCATGTTGGATTGCTTTCACATCGGACTAGAGAGTAAGAGAAAAGACAGTGCGCCTGTGTTTCCCTGTACATTCGGGCACTAATTCTGTCCAGCACAGATGGCTTGCCTCCGTTGAGCCCGGCCGTCATGACCGAAATTCGGTCTAGAGGACATTATTTAATTATTAATGATGATGATTATTAGTAGTGGGTTTTAATAAAAAGTAAAATTATACCTTGGACGAATGGTGGTTGGCCAGGATGTAATAGGTGACATGGTAGGCCGTGACGTAGTCACAGCTGGTGACGGATTGCTCACCATCGATTCATCGTCGTCGCCGAATCTGAAATTTAATTTAAATTTAATTTACAATTTTGCTTTTTGATACAAGCATTTATACAAAAATAACAGCTTGAATTTCAGAAAAATGTCTAACGCAGCAATAACCCGCTAATCATGTGACCCATCAAACAAAAATGATGCACTTTCCAGCAGTGTTTCCTAACATCCTTTTATATACTTACCTAAATATGAATTACAGCTACTTTAATGTAAAATATGATAGAATATATAGATAATAAAAAAGACTGAATTTCAAATAAGTATTCAATAATAAGTTACGTGATATAAAAGAAATCTAAATAATATTGCCTTATTATTTAGCTTTCTGTGGTCGTCACCTTAAGCTTTACCGCCCTATAAAACCAAAACTAGGAGAAGGACAGAAACAAAACACAAAGTCGCATACTATGACTAATATATTAAGAAAAAACTAGCAAATAACCTTTAGCAATAATTGGAAACACATCGAAAAATTTACTTAAAAAGATTTGTGGCCGTAGAAAGAAAAGGGGAGATCTCCCGCCGGGCAAGGTGTTATGCCCGGGGAGCGGCCAACGCTCCATGTGATAGTTCGGAGATGTTCTATATATACTCTTTATGATTCGGAACGTTGATAGCGTGATTTAGGCTTCGGTGTATTTCGCATGTGGCGCGACGACAGCGTCGCTACAGATTATTTACACTACGAGTACACCATACTAAAATCGACTAACATATCTACTACAGTATCGAGTATCCAAACGGCGTCGATAAAGCTTCGCCCTTTTGCCCCTTTATTATTTGATTGACCGATGAAGAGCTATCGTATCACAAAGTCATCTATGCAAACAAGGCTGTAATTTTTGAGTTACAAGAAAGTGAACATATTAACCGGATGACCATATTACCATCACGTACTGTAATCCTTTTTCTAAAACGATATTTTCAGGATCCCGTATATTATAGTTTAATGTAATATACCTGAGCGGAGAGTGATAGCTGGTACGTATATGCATCGTAGCGGCGCGTGAGGCTCATATTTTGAAGACAATTATTAAAAACCAATTTCCGAGCAAAGATTACAAAAAATACCAAATAAAACAAAGAAAAATTCTTAAAATTAAAAAATAATAAAAAATAAAATAACAGCCTTTATACTTCATATCGCTGCCTGTTCCTATCATTTCTGAAACGGGGTTTGTAGCAGGAAAGAGTCCTTTTTTATAGACTCTATCGTTTCTTAAGTCCTGAAAAAAAGAGCCTACCGTTACAAAAACCGTTTCAGAAATGATAGCAGCCATCAACGAAATATTTATAAATTTAAGGACTTCTGGAAAACAGCGTAAAGAAAACATTTCTTTACGCTGTTTCCCAGCACGCAGTAAATCAGCACATAAAGTAATAATAAACAATTTTATTCCACGAGACGGTGGAAACCGAACTCAGTACCTCGCGCCCAGGCAGGTTCTTATGGTCTACCACGGCTCCCTAGGAGTATAGTGTATTGCGTACAAATATTTCATTCTTGTTCTACATACTGTGACGCAACGATTGCGACAAGCCCGACTAGTATTCAGTATTGTTCTCAGTCATGTATTTTGATGTACCTAATTACGGGATATGCAATAGCGTAGCTAACGCTTTTGCTAATAAATAACCGGATTTAAACGGTTACGTCTGTACCTACCAGGTCTCCTTGGACGTAATCTGTTAATTACTTCTCGTTATCATGTTTCGTTTCCTTATACAAGTGGTATTTTTAGTTTTTTTTTATATTTACAACTAATTAAGATTAATAACACTGTGATGGCGCAACCGCATCATCATGTGTCGGACGTACTCTTAAATTATGAGAACAGATGCATCAGAACATCTGTTACTGTAAGCGTCGATCTGTCGCGATGCTAGAAGCTTCGAAAGAAGTCTAGATATGGAGATGATCAGCTGTGATATTTGGACGGGCTGATAAAGTCGTAGAAGAATGTGGTGAAAAGGAAAGTTTTGAGTTTGCAGAATTATTAGAGAATAACATAAGGCAATGGTGAATGATATAAGTATACAACATGTAACAAAAACCCAGTGGTTCCCGTTAACTGCGTTATCGGAATCAGTATCCAAGCAAATATAAATATTTTTTTTTTCAAAAAAAAAAAACACATTTAAAAAAATAATTTTAATGAAAAAAAATAATTTGCATATTGTATGTGGTTTTATTATCTCTGCATTGGCCGAGGAGTAAGAGGATTGTCAAAGACCCCGCAGTACCGATACTCGTATGAGTTAGAGGAAATAAAACCACATACAATTTGCTAATTAATTTTTTTTTTTGCTTGGATACTGATTCTGATAACACACTTAACTAGGGGAGTTATTTGAATGCCATTAAGCAAAGAGTAACGTTCGGAGAGGCTGGACTGATTGTGATAAAACTTGACGAACCGATAGAGTGCAGAGCAATGTCAGGAGTGTGATCGGACTTTTTTTTAAAGAAATCAATAAATTTTGTATTTGATGATTATATTAAATTTAAATAACGTCACATTAATTAATCCCAGGCGAAACCGGGATAGGTAGCTACATAGAATACTATAATACGCAATAGAATGGTTCAACCTTATTTTGTACCGAGGTTCGGCGTCGTCGGGTGCACACATACAAGCAATTACAGCGTATTATCAGTTAATCAGTACTACAAACCCGATTCGCTGTGTTGACAGACGGATTTTAATATATATTTATTTGTAAATAGCGTGCAATTTGGCATTTTCTAAATAATTTGCATGCGAAATTTGGAAACGATTGCAACGTCAAAACACATCTCGTGTTGACATTTATACGTGTGAATTGACGTCTCGTGGCATTATAGTGGCTACACGGGCTCCGCCCACACCCCCGTTCTATTATGTATGTATTATAGTATTCAATGGGCCGCTAGTAATAAATATAGCTTGTTGTATTCTTCATTTAGATATTAAGAACACAGCGCCACCTACCGGATGTAAATGTGAGTATAAACCTTCTAGGTATCAATTCAAACACACACCAAAACATTTCATCAAAATCGGTTGTATGGTTTCAAAGTCTATAACGGACATAGGTATAAACATTTTTTGTGTTTTATTTAGATATAATTATTAGGAATTTCAAATTATATCAGTTAATATTTTTGAAATAATAATTCTGATAATAATTATATTTAAAATAAATTTCAACATCCTAAGAAGCTAGGCCGTGATAGCTTAGGGAAAAAAGCTACACCAAAAATTTATACGAAGTATGCGAACTATTTGAGTTCGATCCCCACCAGCATCAATGAAATTATTAATTTCAATTTAAAAAATTAATTTATCAAGTATTCGATGGTAAAGAAAACCATCGTTATTGTAAACAATAAATATCTCTATCTAATATTACACAACATCGTTATTCCGTATAATAAACAAATACATTTTGTTTATTTCTCAAATATATAGAACCTACAAGACGATCCAATCAAACGATGGGTTTACTTGTAAAAATGTTATGCCTGTGACTGCCTCGTTTGTTTGGTGGTCGTATGGTCAAACTGCTGTTCATAAAGTATCGGGTTCGAATACCAGGTCAGATGGGTGGGTAAGATGGGTTGTTTCATCAAAAAATTCTCAGTAACAGCTCGAATTCGGGAAGTTGACGGTGTTTCACCCCTGTGCCCCGTAAAGCACGTAAGTCCTATCGGACTATGAGAGTGAAGGAATAAAGAAAGTACCTGTACTTGAGCACTCATTCGTGCACCTGTCCTGCACTGATGACTAGTGTCCGTTAAGGCTGGTCGCCGTGACTGAAATACGGTCTGTCATGTCATCAATGAATTGTCAATCGAAGTCAATGTCAACAGTAACATTTTATGATTTATTAATGTTTTCTTTTAAATAAATGAAATGCAATTATTGTGATTGAATTTTTAAGACCTACCTACCTGTGTAACCTACCTGTGTAAATCTGGTGTAATTTATGGAATTTCCAAAATATAATACTAACAGATTTTTTATCGGTTTTATTTACAACGATTTCCTCTAATTCACCAATCCTATAATTACACCAATTCTGTGAAATTTTGCGTAAAAAATTATATGTTTTTTAATCAGACAAAAACAATTCCACGTATTTTTTGAGCTTGATCGTTAATAGCTCTACATCGATACATTTTCTGTACGTAGAATTATTTATTTCAAATTTACTTCTGATGACTCAGGTATGGATCTCAGGTGTGGTCCTTCATTCACACTCTCGCCGTATGAGGAAGCTTAAGGTAGTTTAGCGAGCTTGAGTAAATCTAGTCCGAAAGATTGTCTATGTGCAATTGGTATATTCTACGAAACTGAGAAAATTGCTATAATTATTTTTACTCTTTGAACGTTGTAGAGCCATGCTGCAGTTATATTAGTATAGTTGTAGCACGTATGGGTCGGCTCTACCGGCGAAGGACCACGCTCTCATAGAATACCAGCGTAAAATAGTATCTTATTGCTGCTGTGTCGTATGGTGTGTGTAGAAGACCGGAGACCCTTTTTACTGGAAACTCGTTTCGCATTCCATCTAAGTCCTCACGGGTGACAACGCATCTGAATTTTGATTTGTGATCGAGGATATATGTAGATGTCTACGGGCCACTTACCATTAGGTGGACGGTGTGCTCGTTTGTCACCCTATCCTATAAAAGGATATTCTGTCATTCTCAAAATATAGCATAGTTGCGCACTATTTTTTTTCGTTACAGTACCTATATGTACACCTAAAGAAAATATAGTACAAGCATATATCGTATATTACGGTTGGCTGCTCAAATTCGAACCCAAAATAGTTATTTCTAGGCCATACAAATATCATCTCACAATGATAATTGTTCTTACAATTTCCTCAATAATGATTTCTTAAATTTACGCGAACACTACACATTGAATAAAACTATTATTTACGGATTTTTTCGCGTTTAATTACTTTAATTTATTTTTATTATTATCCCGACGTTTCGGGTGCTTTACAGCGCCCATGGTCACGGAGGGGACTGAGATGTTTGACGTCCCAATGTCATAGTTAGTCCGGCTACCTTCAGTTTTTTAATATTAATTTTTGGTCCGATTTACGCAAAACGAGCTTATAGTATCATGAAGTCTTGCAGTGGTATGCTTGGGTTTGGGTTTAATTTTGTTAATTATAGGATCCCAAGCAGATGGTAGCACCCAACCATCTTCTCTATTGAAATTTGGATGTTTTTTAATTTCAATAGCCTCGCGTATCATCCTTGGTAGGAATCGGTGTTCTTTTGCGAGAATTTGTGGTTTATCAAACCTAATGTAATGGTGGGGACGATCTTGAACATGTTCGCAGACTGCAGACTTCCCGGAGCGTCGGTGCTTCACATCAGCTATATGTTCCTTCACGCGGGTTTTTATAGATCTCTTTGTTTGACCTATGTAAGAGAGACCACATTCACAATCTAGCTTGTACACACCTGCATCTTGTAGAGGAATATTACATTTGATGGATGGTAAAAATTGACTAATCTTCTTCAGCGGCTTGTAGTATGTCTTAATGGACGCTCGCTTCAAGATGTAGCCAATCTTGTCCGTGACTCCTCTAACATATGGTAGTAGAGCAGGCGCGCGCTCGACTGTGGCAGGCTTCACTCGTTCACTGTGACGTAGGCGCGGGACCCGAAGCTTGTTGTCTTGCAATACTTGCTTGACGTGCTGAAGCTCCGCGGCCAGATGTTTTCTGTCACAGATCCCTCGTGCTCTCTGAAACAAAGATTTACCCACGGTAGCTAACTGTGAAGGATGATGGTGAGATTCACCATTTAAATATCAGTTGGTATGGGTCTTTTTTTCTATACACAGTGTGACCAATAGTGTTATCAGGATTTCGGATGACCAAAACATCTAGGAAAGCTAAAGAATTATTTGCCTCTAACTCCATTGTGAATTGTACAATTCACAATGGAGTGTTTTCTAAATGGTGAATCTCACCATCATCCTTCACAGTTAGCTACCGTGGGTAAATCTTTGTTTCAGAGAGCACGAGGGATCTGTGACAGAAAACATCTGGCCGCGGAGCTTCAGCACGTCAAGCAAGTATTGCAAGACAACAAGCTTCGGGTCCCGCGCCTACGTCACAGTGAACGAGTGAAGCCGGCCACAGTCGAGCGCGCGCCTGCTCTACTACCATATGTTAGAGGAGTCACGGACAAGATTGGCTACATCTTGAAGCGAGCGTCCATTAAGACATACTACAAGCCGCTGAAGAAGATTAGTCAATTTTTACCATCCATCAAATGTAATATTCCTGTACAAGATGCAGGTGTGTACAAGCTAGATTGTGAATGTGGTCTCTCTTACATAGGTCAAACAAAGAGATCTATAAAAACCCGCGTGAAGGAACATATAGCTGATGTGAAGCACCGACGCTCCGGGAAGTCTGCAGTCTGCGAACATGTTCAAGATCGTCCCCACCATTACATTAGGTTTGATAAACCACAAATTCTCGCAAAAGAACACCGATTCCTACCAAGGATGATACGCGAGGCTATTGAAATTAAAAAACATCCAAATTTCAATAGAGAAGATGGTTGGGTGCTACCATCTGCTTGGGATCCTATAATTAACAAAATTAAACCCAAACCCAAGCATACCACTGCAAGACTTCATGATACTATAAGCTCGTTTTGCGTAAATCGGACCAAAAATTAATATTAAAAAACTGAAGGTAGCCGGACTAACTATGACATTGGGACGTCAAACATCTCAGTCCCCTCCGTGACCATGGGCGCTGTAAAGCACCCGAAACGTCGGGATAATAATAAAAATAAATTAAAGTAATTAAACGCGAAAAAATCCGTAAATAATAGTTTTATTCAATTTCCTCAATGTAACATCTGATTCTACTGTGTGGTAAATACGTATATAATTATTAAATAGGTATCACATTTAATAACATTAAAACACCTGCGCCTTTTGATGTTTTAATTACAGATTATATATGTCATAAACAGGTAAGGTAGAGGTTAATTCAATGTTGAGATTTAAACGTAAATACTAAACAAAAAGATTTTGATGTCCTAATAACTATTATTATCACGCTGTCTGATTGGTAAATTATTAGTTCGAGTGTAATTTTATTCTCCTTTAGTGTATCAACAACACATTGTTGGTATTTTCATCGAAAACACAAGGTGCAACCACGTTTTCAGAAGTATATTACAGTACTCTGTGGGAATCGTATAATTAAATTCGCATTCGCGACATTTGATTCATCAAAAGATGACCACGATATTAATATTTAGCAAGGAGTGGAGGATTAGGCGAAGGACGTAGATGTTGATTTCTAAGAAAAGGTTGTCATATACGTCGTTCAGATACCTAGTATATATTTAATAGAATTTATCGTTTAGTATATGAGGATACCGATATAGATTTTATTATATAATATGGATGTTTCAAAGCCCATTTTTTGTTGATATTTAAACCACAATTTTAAGCGAGTTTCAGCCTAAAAGGAGATCTTCAATTTATTTTTGAGATTAGTATTGAGTAATTTATTCGCTACACTGCTCCAGTACGTGACTCCCACGTCCCTTACGATGATTTTCTTCCTTCTCTTTTCACTAAGGTTAAAGCTTTCTCCATACCTTGCGGAGTGACTTTGTACTTCTTTATACGAATAGCAGTATGATCACGTCTAGATTTCTAACATCCTCACTGTCAACACAAGCTGGTTTATATATGTGTATGCCTGAAAAGATTTTTTTCGAAATTTCTCGTGTAGCACTAAATATTAAATTTACCTGTTAAGAAGCAGTGGCTCTATTGGTGTAGAAGCGGTTGAAGGTGGCGTTGGCGATGTAGTTAACACTGTCGCTGGCTTGGGGGTAGCGGATTCAGCGGGCAACACTGATAGTAGATTAGGTTCTGGTAGAGGTGCTGGCGGTGGCGGCGCATTTTCGACGTCTGTGTAATATTGTTAGATATATTATTCATACGTCCACAGATATAAATCATATATTAGGAAAATATTTGTAAGTTAATTTCCATATTAACTAAACTGCGGCATTGAAATGAATACCAAAAAACTTTAAGCCACCTGGTAAATCGAAAATTATTGCGTGGCGTTACAACGTCCTTTTTTCTGTTGTTTAAAACTAAAATGCAGCACTTATATGATATCTTATAGCGGTAAAACTACATCAGTTGTTTTCAGAGTAGTTTAACTTTAAGGCTAGGCAAATATTTTAATGCTATCTTTAAACCAATGGGTTAACCATTTTTATGACTGATTATACCTTCGGACTATGACATAGCTCAAACACGTGTAAAACAGTCTTATAATATCGTCACGCCTGTAATCCTTTAGGGGCAGGAAGAGTCTAAAAAACAGCGTGCTACTCGGACCACGCTTGGGAAAAAAAAGTAAATCATCCCATTAGCCGCCTTTGCGACATCATGTTAGGCAAGTAGCAGAGTGGACACATTATTTTTTACGTAGTAGAGCCATGCTGCAGCTATAATATTGTTATAGCACGAATGGGTCGGCTCGACCAGAGAAGGACCACGCCCTCACAGAATGCCAGCGTAAAATAGCAGCTCAATGCCGCTGTGTCGTATGGTGAATACAGAAAACCGGAGACCCTTATTACAGGAAACGATCCATTCCATCTTAGTCCTCAGGGGTGGCAACGCATCTGCATTTTGATTCTTAACCGAGGATAGATGTAGATGTATATCGCATCGCCGTCGCATCATGCACTTTTTATTAGGTGGACTGTGTGACTGTTTGTCACTCTAATTCTATAAAAAAATATTTTTTTATCCTCTCGTGTGTCGATACAAAATGGGCGCTACACGTCCGACATTATAGAAATTGTGATGAATCATCTCAATCAATCGATCAACATGGACCTATAATAAGTCTCAGACTAAAGCGAGTCACAGACCACGCATGTACGTATACATATTGTGGCGCGCCACAGTTGATGGCACTCAGTGGCGAAGCTAGAGCTCCAAGCTAGGGCAAGCCCAAGATATAAATTGATGAAAATATAGATTGTTGTTTTTAGCAGTTTTATAAAAATACACCAATCTTGATCTGCCTCCACGATTCAGTTTCATATTCAGTGCTGTCAAGGACGTGTTTAACAAAGCACACAGAAGGCATACCACTGCTAGATAGATTATATTACATATCAGCAATTGCATAGCTACGATGGTTTTGAAGAAAGCGTTTGTTTGTTTAAGCGAAAGAAAAAAATATTTACATCCAATACAATTACATGAACAAAAGTAAAACACGAACAAAGTACAAACAAACTATGTACAAAATTAAAAAAAAAATTATTTACATTCTAATGGATAAGAGATATGATAAGATAAGTGGAATCGTCTCGCTTTCTTATGGAAAGATTTAATTACGTTCTCGGAAAATGTTGGTGAACGTTTTAATTGTACCAGTAACTGTTTTTAATTGCGATAATTGATAAGTCTGAAATACACTCTTAACCTTATGTATTATCTCAACAAAGTTTAAAGATTTCCTCTCCGATTATCACTTTAACACACTTCAATTCATCACACTATTGTCCTCCATTTTCATTAAAAATCTTTAAAAAAGCATAAATTTTGAACTCGTAATATTAAATCGCTTAAGATATGCACACAGAGTAAATAAACATTGAAACGTGAAATGAACTTGCAAACGTATTGCCCGCGCGCCTCCGCTTTTAACAAATTTATTCCCAAAAGCCTGGCTTTAAATCTCTATACTAATTGCTATATATACAATCGTAGTTATATTTCATTATAGAATATTTTGCCATAGGTTAGAAAGAGAGCGATCGTCTTCTCGAAAGCCCCGTAAAAAGCCCACGCGAGCGAGGGAGACAACTATTAGCTCTATTAAAACTCATTTTTTATGACAGCAGCAGTATCGCTAAGGCAATACGAGGTCATCGGTCGACATGTGTCGAACAGTGGAGTGCGCGGGAAATTTGAAATAGCTTGAAACATTTTACGAGTTATTTTATTAGTTGATATTATTGATTGATTCAGGTTTAATAAGGCAAGCCCGGCTTTTCGGCTTTAATGGAAGCTTCGCCACTGGCACTAGCGCCATCTGGTATCAAGTATCAGAAATAGGAGTGTCAAGATCTTTCTAGAACTCTCCCAACAGCGTCATCTAGTATCGAATAGAAGAAATAAGCTTTCTAGAAAGGTCCACCCTAAGCTCGTAAAAATATATTATCTGCGTATAAAACTTAATTATCTAAAAGTATCACACACTACGCAGATACGATAATATACGAAATGATACATTCACTCGAAATCCTTCAAACTTACTAGACGTGTTTTTTTTGGAGCGAATTATTTATACAGAGTATTACCTACAACGAGTTGGCGTGTATTGCTTCTAGATTTGCTAGACAGCTCGTCAGAACAGGATTCAGATTTTGATTAAGATGCACGCGTTGCATCTGGGGGCACGGCAGTGTTAAATTAGATTGCTTAGTGCGATTGCCAACTATATATTTAAAACATAAAAGATTTTTATTATTGATATGGTCTCTATAAGATGTTGTTAGGTAAGCTAATTACGTAATAACTTAAAATAGAAGGACCCCTAAGTAAATTAACCGAATTGGTATTACATAATGATTTCTTATATTTACGCGAACACTACACATTGATTAAAACTACTTTTACGGATTTTATCGCGTTTATTTTACTTTTATTTTTAATTCCCGACGTTTTGGGCGCTTTCCAGCACCCATGGTCATGGGGGACTGAGATGACTGACGTCTCGATGTCATTGTTAAACCCGGAGTACCTTCAGCTTTTTTAATTATTGTTTATGGTCCGATCTATGCAAAATGAACTGACTATGTCCTGAGGTCTTGCAGTGGTATGCTTGGGTTTAGTTTTAATTTTATTGATTATAGGATCCCAAGCAGGTGGTAGTACCCAGCCTTCTTCTCTATTGAAATTAGGATGTTTTTTAATTTCAATAGCCTCACGTATCATCCTTGGTAGGAATCGGTGTTCTTTCGCGAGGATTTGTGGTCTATCAAATCTGATGTAATGGTTGGGGCCGTCTAGGATATGATCGCAAACTGCAGAATTCCCGGAACGTTGATGTTTCACATTCGATATAATATGTCGTTGCTTACAGATACTTAACGATGAAATATAAATTATCTGCGCTGTGTGTTAGTTCATTGCATTCTCCAGAGAACGACGTGTGACACGTTTAACATTGGATGGAAAATAATGTCGAAGTGTTCGTTTTGTAAATAAAAGCAAAACATTTATTACATACGCCATAAATATGTATTTTTTGCGATGAATTACTCATCTGGTTATTTATAAGGTCAGATCCTCGCATGATTACACATTATTATTTTAAGTTGAAGGAGGATCCATCACCCTATCTTGTCTCGAGATCTCACGTAATGATTTCTGGTTTTTCGATAAATGGTATTTTTTCCTATAAGCTGAAATAAGCTTAACAGAACTCCTCTTCTGAACATAGGACTCACAGGTACACTTATGGGGTGATTTTGCACGCTTGGTGAGTGGATTGGTAACCGCAGTTTTTTTTATTATTCTAAGTTATATCAGCATCTTCCTGATCAACTCAAGATTAGTAAAACTACGACTGCCACAAACTACAAGAGCCGTGGTAGCTCAGCTAAGCGCTCGCTGTAAATTTCACAGTAAGCTAGCGACCCGGATTCGATTCTCGCTGGCACCAATGAAATTGTTAATTGCAATCCTAAGTGCTGATTTATCACGTTCTTGGTGATGAAGAAATACATCGAGAGGAAACCTGTATATCGAGAAATAAGAAAAAAATATTTCGAAGACATTTAAAGTTCACTAACACATATTGGGGCAAAGTGGCTGACGTTTCCTTGCCCTAAAACCCTCTCAGAAGTGAGAGGAGGTCTGTGCCGTGTAGTGGGGCGTATATAGGCTATAACTTTAACTTTTATCAATTGCCAACTCATTTGTCAACCGTGGCATCTATGGTAAAATCCTCCTTATGAGTCAGTGAACTTTTATAGACTGGAATGGATGGATGCATAATATATATTTAACGTTTGAATGTATTGACGGTCAAGGTAAAATCAATGAATCCATAATATGAACGACCTTATGTTACCTTTAAGGCCAGCTCTTTCTATCCATAACCAAAATTGTAAGTTCACGTCTGTATTTCTATACACAAAGGCACAAGGAATGAATCATCGTCTCGGAAGTCTTAAACGCCAGCGAGGTCGTTCTTTAACTAATAAGAACTAACAATCGGTGTATGATATGTTTTTTTTTCTCTTGATTACAATCTACAAAAAAGTAAACACAATAAAAATGCTTGACAGAATGCGATCACATTAACCATACACGCGGCAAATGCTGTGCAATTATGACACTTCATTTATCTTATTTATATAAATATAAAAAGTTTTACCTTTTAAATGTAAAAGTTTAAATAACATTTATAAAGTAATGTGTATATTGCTTTAACATTCATACCTAATTACTATTTTTTATGTAAGTGGATGTATCCATAATCTCATTTTATCCTTGATTAAGATTCAATGCAAGGTGTTGTTTTCCCTGAGGAGATGTTATGCCTCGTTTTCAGTAAAAGGGTCGCCGGTACATATATACGAATACGTAAAGAGAGAGAGAGAGAGAGAGACAGAAGATACGAAACACAGCAGCAATAAGTTTCCATTTTACGCTGGTATTTTATGAGTGTGTGGTTCTACCCCGGTCGAGGAGACCCATTTGTGCTACGACTATAATATAGCTGCAGGGTGGCTCTACCACGATAACAATCTACATTATAATATACATTATGATAGAGCTTCTGTCTATTTTTATGCACTAGATTATTTTCATGGTTGAAAAACGTGATTGTTGTGCCAGGTTCCTATATTAAGATTTCCCCTATTTCTTTCATATGAAATTAAAGCGACAAACGGACTCACTCCACTTGATGGCAAGTGATTTGCAGTCAATGGACACCTGCAGTCAATCAACTTTAAACGAAATATTCTATAGAGACGTTGTCAAGAGGACTAAGATGGAATGCCTCAGAGCCTGTAATTATACTGGCTCTATATATATATATATATATATATATATCCCTTTCAGACCTGAATACAGCAGTACTTATGCTTAGCAGCAGAAACAGGTAAGAGGTTAGTACCTACCCAGGAGGATTTCTGGGTAGAAAAGGAGTTCCCTCACCTAGTAGTTCTCATTCTTGCCTGTCCATAAACAGTAATATATCTCTTCTGTAGTTCTTTTCCATAGGATTTGATTTAATCCCACTACACACGTAAAATGAAGATACATCTCACTGAGCACAGGTGTCTTCTTATTTCTGAGGGCTATAAGGTAATACAATGTCCGCTGTTAACCCAATGCGTGTTCAGGGACTTCAAACGTATTCGAAATACTTTATTTTAATTTCTGAGACATCCAGGTTTCTTCAAGATGACGACACTTAAAAATTGCAACTATCAGGGATGCAGGGATCTAACCCGGGGATAGCCCGTATCGTGAAATTGTGACCCCTGAGCTACAGTGGGGTTTTAAAAATGCTGTACCAGAATGCTAGCGCTTTCGATGTTGCTTGTCATATTTTACGTCTGGTAGAATATCCAAGAAGGTGAAGTATACCGACATTTTATCAATTGCTTTAGTTCACGATTTTTCTCACAATAATGCTATAACACATATTGTCCAAGAGACTGCCACAAAATTGTTTTATTTTTCACAATACTTCTTTTAATTACATCAATATCTATAATTGACATACGTGGTTTTTTTACTGTTAGTCGAGCAATGGAACAGACTAAGCTCGGAGTTTCTCAGCGTGACAAACTTCGAAATAAAGATATCCACAGTAGAACCAGATTTATATACTGAGCCGGCCATATAGTTCGAAGAACCGACAACACACGGCAAAGCAAGGTTTTGGCGTGTCAGTCTCGCTTGTACTGGTCATAGATAACACACTAGAAAGTACTGGTTAGCGAAGTATAGGATAGGTCCCCCCCTCCACAACTCCACAAATAGAAAGGTGCTCTGTGGAATTTCTAAAGGTAGGCCTGTTCGGCATTTTTTTTAAATATTTTCAAGGAGGAAATTCACTTGTATATCCATTACACACAGCCGTTCAGAGCCTAGTCCAGAGCGGCAATCAGTTAGAGCGAGTTTCACTCCGAACATTGTAACACAATACAAGAACGGATGTTTCCCATATAGTCCGAGATACACATGGTGGAGCCATTTTGCAACTTTATTACGGTTGTACCACGAATAGTTGTACAACCGCGGAAGAACCTTGCTCTCATAGCGTGCCAGCGTGAAATAGTAGCTTAATGCTGCTGTGTTTCGTATGGTGAGTGTAGATAACCAGAGACTTATTACTGGAAAAGGCATTTCGTCTTAGTCTAAAGTAGTGACAATGCATCTGCAATTTGACTTTTAATCGAGGATGAATGTGGAAGTCTATGGGTCACAGCATCCACTTACCATCTGTGCTCGTTTGTTGCCCTTATTTTATAAAAAAAGACCTACTTTCCTTGTTATTTGAGGAATACGTTTTGTCGGGTTGCCAATCAAAACATGGCCGCAAGTCATTATTTAAAATTTACTAAGTGATGTTTTAATAAATAATAATCATTTGTTTTTTTTTAATACATATCTATAATATCAAAGAAAAACTAATAAATAAAGAACTTAAAAAAATTGAGTTGCCTCAGGGCTTCATAATTTATTTAAAAATATTTTTATCCTAATATTATTCTCAATATTACTCAACAAAATTGTTAGATATGGTTCTTTTTGAACTTTATTTAATGAATAGTATTAATAATAAATACATTACGGAAAGTATGGACTGCGCATTAATATTTTTGACATGCACGGTACGGCTGAAAATATTCATACCTGATCCAATAATAGTGTTGAATTGCTCATTCGCTAAGAAGGTCTCGAAATATCTAGTGAAATCACCAGTAGGATCCCATCTCGATTGCACCTTAGCCCACTCATCTGGGTATTCGTATTTGAGTCTTTTGATTATCTTAACGGCTGTCCTCTTCTGCCTCTCGGTACACCGTAAGCATTTCGTTCTTAAAGCTTCTGGAAGTAGCCCTGTTGGAAGAAAATAATTTATATTAGTATTTTTCATGATCCGTGGCTCAACACGTGAGCGAACTTTCATTTTTTAATCACACAATGCGATCAACTGATACGTCACGTGTTTATGGAAAACTGTATGTGAGTGAAATAAAAAAAAATGTCTGGAAATGTCAACTATGCTAAAATGCGGCGGACTATCGCACTTTAATCCTATCAGAAATGAGAACCGGCCATTCCCTGTAAGCCTTTTAAAGGATGTAATAAAATAGTTAATAACCAAGTAAAGTACTATTAAACCCTATACGGGTAAATAATGCATTATTGACGTTATCACATTCTTGTTTTTTTTGCCAATCTATAAAGAACGCGATTAGTTTTAATATGAAATTGCATGGATTTCTTCTATTCTTCTGTATGTAATCATCCGAGGTTATACTTAGGCTCTAAAAGTTATTAGCTGATAATAATTTGATCTTTTGAATTTATTAATTGAGGTGTTTTTAAAAGTTTCTTGATAAAACCTTTTTTTACTTCTGTTTATTGCATGTTACATATGAGAAAAATTCACAAAGATAATATAGACATCAATGATTATACCACTAAAACATAAACGTGAAAAAGGGACCGAATTCGATGCAAAATACCATGTTTCATAGCAGTTCCTTAATCCATAGCTATAGGAAAGTAATGTTGTATAACGTTTTTCAATTGATCTATATACTTAGCAAGTTATTATATATGATAAAAAAATTGTGAAGGTATTGTCATAATGATGATAATGATCATAATAATGGTCGTAGTCATGATAATGTCGTCAAATTTATATGGTTAATTATTATTAATAATAATAAAAATATAAAGGCTAATTGGAGCGGAGCTCCCACTGCGCAAGAAAACAATTCTTTGAAATCTATCTCCTCCGTAATTAAAAATAATATTTTTTTTCAGCAATATTTGTAGCTCAACGCAGACAAGGTTTGTAAACAATAAAAATCTCAATTTGTCTAAAAGGTATTAAAAATTAAACCAAAAACTAAATTGTTTATGGGAAAATACATGTAAAGCAAAAGCGCACGCTTTTGAAATAATTATTGAGAAAAGAATAAATTTTAAACAATTTTAATGTGATTGAATCTTTTGTTGAAATAATGATAGTTATGACTTTAGACTTTTACTCCGGTTCGTTTATGATGCTAGCAAAAGGTTTTACCTTTGCATCTGCATTTTTTCTACGTGGTAGAGCCATGCTGCAGTTATATTAGTAGTATAGTTGTAGCACGAATGGGTCGGCTCGACCGGGGAAGGACCACGCTCTCACAGAATACCAGCGTGAAATAGTAGCTTAATGCTGCTGTATTTCGTATGGCGAGTGTAGAGAACCGGAGACCCTTTTTACTGAAAATGAGGCATTCCATCTCAGTCCTCACGGGTGACAACGCATCTGCATTTTGATTTGTAATGGAAGATAGATGTAGATGTCTATGGGCCGCAGCAACCACTTACCATCAGGTGGACTGTGTGCTCGTTTGGCAGCCTATTCTATAAAAAAAATGCATCGGCCCTAGTTATTTAATGTGGTAATGGTACGGTAAGTTTCAAGTTCAATACTTGTTTTGCCATATTAGTCTAGCGGTCGTAAGCGCGACATTTAATCACGTGGTCCCGGGTCCGAATTTTGGGAAGTGCAAAAGATCAGCTGTTGTATTTTTATGTCAAGATATTTTCAGTAACAACCCAGAGAGAAGTTAACTGTGGTGAGGAAGTTGAGATTCGGATCGGACTATAACAATTAGGTAATGAAGAGTGTACTTCTTTGCGCACACACTGTACACTCTCACAGCGTACGAGTATGGTAGAAGTCTACTGTCCGTTAAGATTAGCTGTCGTAATTAAAATTCGGTCTGGGGGACATTATTATCATAGTTATAGACAGTGAAATGTAGTGATTATATACTCTTTCAAAGAAAGTATCGGATAACGAGTTCTATCACCGTAGTTTCAAACAGCCTAATTATATCATAAATATTGTAAATTAAGATTAACACGGTGAGGAAACTAGCCTAGATATCTTTTTGTCGTAAGAGAATCAATACTACACCTTTAAGTATATTCTTGTTATAATTAGAATCCTATTTATTTATTTTCACTAACAACATACATTAAGAGAGCAATAATGAATATGTGCTTACATCTGAAACAATACCATTGTACCAAAGTACCAAATAAAGAATTGGTAAAACCAGTATCTTATCACCAGGTGATCACTAGTGATATCACCTGTGATCTCCGTGGACAAAGTTGATGTATGAATACAAGATATACTTACGTTCTAGTTAATAAAGTAAAAAATAAAAATAAATAGAAAGAAAACAATGTCGCATTAAATAGCAAACATAGACAACAGTTAAATTACATTGGTAGATATTATAATTTACTTTTAATGTTAGCTAAACGCTATGCACATAAATGAGTAAAATTATAAAAATTGTGTATGTGTTTGTGAGTAATAAGAAGTCCTTAAATAAACAAAATACATTTTTAAAAGAATTTTTAAATTTAAAAAGATATATATATATATATAATATGTAACAAAAACCCTGTAGTTCCCGTTAAGTGTGTTATCAGAATCAGTATCCAAACATAAAGAAATAATTTTTTTTTCAAAAATACACATTTAAAAAAAATTAATTTGCAAATTGTATGTGGTTTTATTAACTCTGACTCACACGAGTATCGGTACTGAGGGGACTTTGACAATCCTCTTACCCTTCGGCCAATGCAGGGATAATAAAACCACAGACAATTTCCAAATTAATTTTTTTTATCAAAATTAATTTTTTTAATTAAATGTGTTTACGCACACACACACACACACACACACACACACACACACACACACACACACACACACACACACACACACACAAAATATGTAGCCTTGTTTGCATAGACGGCTTTGTGATACGATAGTTCTTCATCAGTCAATCAAGTAATAAAGGGTCAAAAGGACGCTGCTTAATCGACGCCAATCTGACAGTTGACATTACCTATAGTAAATTTTTAGTCGATTTTAGTATGGTGTAGTGTAGTGTAGTGTTGATTTTTCGAAGTGTTCCTAATATTGCCAAAGCTGGATTGTTTTTTTTTTCTAGATATATTAGTGCTAGTATACGACTTTGTGTTTTTGTCTCTGCCCTCCTGCTACATTTGGTTTTATATGGCGGCAAAGCTTAAGGTGACCATATTACCCTTACGTACCTTATTATCACCTCCTTGATTGTATTAACAATTCAATATGTTTATATTCAATATAAAAATGATGGCAGTTACATCAAACACAATTATTAAATATAATGATAATAATTGTAATAATTTTTTTTTAATTTTCAGTTTCATATATTGCTTATAGATAATGCCTTTATACATTTAACAGTACGCCAGCAACCCGGGTTCTACCCGCCGGCACCAATAAAATTGTAAATTGCAAAATAAATTAAGAGCTGATTATTCTGCGGAAACCTGCATATCCGAGAAATAAAAAAAATATTTCAAAGACATGTTAAGTTCGGCAACACGCATTGGGGCAGCGCGATGAACATTTCCTTGCCCTAAAACCCTCTCAGAAATGAGACGAGGCCTGTGCCCAGCAGTGGGACGTATATAGGCTGCAACTTTATTTTACTTTGATGTCTTTATTACACCTTCCAGTAGCAATGCGTCGTTATTCCACACATTAGAACCAAAAGGTTCAGATTTAGCAAAAGAGTGGAATAATTTTCCGGCGTCTGTCTTTCCGCCTGTTTACAGAAGGGTTTTCAAGGCAAGATTGAAGATTTTCTAACGCTGAGACAATGCGTTTTACCATCTAGATCTCCATCATCACTAACCACCACCAGATGAGATTACAGTTAAGCATTGGATTATAATTAAGTAAAGAAGATAACACTCTCGTCAACAACTGCGTGCACTATCACTGCTACAAAAGCTAACTCAACATCATTACACCCAACACCACAATCTGACACTAGAAAACACATAACATCATATTTATACGAAGGCAGTGAAAATTTCGGAAATCAAGGATGTGACACAACATTACTATTTAAAAGTGTATTTGTTGCTTTTCGAAGTATTCTCCGCGAAATTTGACACATTTTTCCATACGATGCTACCAATCATTGAAGCAACCATTCCATTCGGAAGTTGGGGTCTCCAAAATGGCAGTTTTGTAGGCGTCCACAGCTTCTTCAGGTGATGAAAATCTCTGTCCACGCAATTTATTCTTTATTTTAGGGAAAGTATAGAAATCATTAGGGCTTAGGTCGGGGCTGTACGGCGGATGGTCTAATAATTCTATGTTTTCTTGCTCTAAAAACTCTTTTGTTCTGTGTGCGGTGTGAGAACTCGCATTGTCGTGATGGAGGATGATGCGGCGGTTGCAGTTCTCTTTACGGAGTTCAGAAACGAGCTGTGGTAAACAAATGCTAGCATATCATTCTGCATTAACCATTCTTTGTCTCTTAAGAGGAATAGTCGTAACATGGCCGGTTTTGGAGACAAACGTGGCCACTATTTTTTTTTGCAACACTCCGTGAACGAACAATTTTTGTTGGCTTTAACTCATTTTCGAACACCCAAACTCATGACTGGTTTTTTTGTTTCGGGTTCATACGCGTATATCCAGGATTCGTCACACGATACGATGTTGTATACAGCATTTGAGGATCCTGCGTGGAATCTTTCGAGAGTTCTGACGCACCAAGTAACGAGAGCCGCTTTTTGCTCTTCACAGAGCGAATGCGGTATCCATCGGGAAAACAACTTTTTTACACCTAATTGTTCATAATTCATAATTCATAATTATTTATTTGCATAGAATGTAGGTAGATATTACAATAGTATTATTAAATAATGAAAGTTCCTATACATTCTGCCTTGACGAGGCGTGCAAATTTTGACTAATTATATATAACAATTTTTTTCGATGAATTTAACTTATTTTCATATATCAA